AGCTTCGACTTCAGCTTCGACACCATTTGCAACTCTAATGCATCTTTCTCCTCTTGCTAGCATCCTCCTCGTATGGAAGCCCTGTAATGAATTTGCAACATGAATAGTCGCACCTGAATCAACCCACCAAGTGGATTTTGAATAACTTACATACAGGGATTCATCTACGAATGTAATGATGTCTCACCCTTTTTTAAAAGATGCTTCAGGAATTCAGGGCAATCCTTCTGAAAGTGCCCCTTCTGCTTGCACCACCTGCAAGCGTCCCTCTCCACTTCTTGTCGTGGATTTGGATCAACCTGTGGTGCCTTTCCACGTGCTTTGGGAGAGGCGACATTCTGACTGTGGTTGTTCCTCTTCTTGTTCTTCACATAATTTGCAGAATCACCACGAGTTTTGGGTCTATCCTCTTCTTGCACACACATGGCAATCAACTTCTCAATGTTCCAGTTTTCGGGCAATGAGTTGTAATTCACAGCAAATGACTCGAATTCTGAAGGCAAGGAGGCAAAAATGAGGTGAACTAGGAAGTCGTCAGGGAGAACCAAGTCTATCTTCTTGAGCTTTGAAGTGATACCGCTCATCTTCAAAATATACTCTCTAACATCTCCGCCATGGTACTTCATAGTAACTAAGCTCTTGATTAAGGAGCTCGCATAAGCCTTTGAAGAAATAGTAAACTGATTCTCCACTCTCTGAAGATACTCTGTGGCGGTGGTGCATACTGGGATTGCTCCCCTTACTGCCTCCACTATTGAGCTCTTGATTACCATCAAGCACTTGCGGTTGGAAGACTCCCACTTCGCATGATCAGTGTCGTACTTCTATACTATTGGAGCATGGTCCAACGTTCTCTGCTTAAAAGCATCTTCGCTCTCACCCTCCGCCCTCACTGGCGCAACTGGCGCAGTGGGACAGGGCTCGGTGAGAGCTAAATCTATATTAGACAGCGCAAGTGCTATCTCAATCTTCTCTCGCCATGAGCCTTAATTATTCCCATTAAGGGGCTCAACGGCCGAGATATACACAAGTGGGTTAGTTGTTCCTGAAAGCAAATTTAAATAAATCAAGAAACAAATAAAACTCTTGTATGTTTTAATTTAACGTTGGTCAAAATTAAAACATACAACATACTACCACATTAATTCTACATCACCGTTGGGCAGAAATAGAACTAATGCATGGAAAACTTGTAAACATCATTATAGCAGCGGAAACTTAAAATTACATACATGTTCAGAAGCAATTCTTACAATTTTTTACTCCCTGAACAATTTTCACGTTGGTTAAAATTGCTTAGAAATAAATACTTCAATAAACATAAATAATAAAAGCTTCTAAAATAGGGATCCAAATCTAACTTCTTTTTCTTTTTTTGCTTCGGCCACGAGGAACCAAAATCAGACTTTGGCCGGCCTGGCACGTTCGGCCCACAGCCACCAACCAAGCGCCTTTTTTCAGCCATCCGATCGCTAGGGTTACGATCGGACGGCTGACCGCCGAGATCGGGGGGAACAAAACCCTCCCTCCCGGCCGGCCGAAAAACCCTAGCGCCATTTCTCTTTCTCCCTCCTCTCTTCGCTGTGGCCACGGTCGGTGGCAGCTGGAGGTGATGGCGGCGCCGCCGCAGGGCCCCTCGCCGGCGCGCACGCTCGCCCTAGGCTGAGCGCGCCACCGTCGTGTTAACAACCAAATTTGGTAGCATTTGTGTCAGGAAAGGGGATTTGATCGAAGAAGAGTTGGAGGCGGAGATCGAGTTCTGGAACAAAGCAGGAATCGGCTGGAGTCCAGATCGGCTACGGCTAGGATCGGCTGAGGTTGAGCTAAGCTAAATAAGCTGATATAGCCGATTCTGACAATACGACTTGTGCACGGCGTCGGGCTCAGGTTGATGTACTTCAAGATGATTGCCACGCATGGATAGAGTCCTGGGAAGGCAATTGTATCTATTAATTAGGATGTTTTATGTAAATTCCTTATAGATAAGTGTGGGCAAAAGTCTGCCGCAAAGACGTGATATTTAGAGTTTGTTAGAGATAATGGTCGTGTCCGGTATGGGCATATCTTGTAATCCTCGGGTATAAATAGACCCTGAGCCCTATGTAATTTTTAACACACACGTTCAATACAATTCCGGCGCATCGCCATCCTTTTACTTTAATTTTGTTTCGACGAGTTTTTGCTTTCGGGTTGAGCTGCATCGGTTTCGATCTTCAACAAAAGGTAAAATTCGTTATGACGGATCGTGTTATTAGGATTAGTGCTTCCATCTTTATGACACTCTAATCTTATTTATATAATTCGTCAAGTTATCATATATCTTACATAATCTTCAGCAATATCGCTATCTAATCTACTATCGACCAACATCTGTATGCAGAAGGCATCCGATTAGGTTAGATCTTGATGTTGATCCAGATTATATAAGATATCTACCATTCTATGAATCTTCTAGCGGCTTGATTGTCTAGATATTGTTCTTCTTTTCATACTTAATGCTGCATCAATTGAGTTTGATCTATTAAGTCGTGCTTAGAATATTGATCTCTAGCCTGCCACCTAGTTGTCGATTAGAATAGCATCAGAGTTTCAGCCGATCGTATCTGATTTAACTACAGTTATCCTATTTGCTTCATTAATATGTTAAATCTGCCCTTTATGTCAAGATACTGCCATAACTAAATATGTTAAACTCTTGTTTGATATATTATTATTGCTTCAATATCTTAATATAGAGTAGTATCGGAGTATTAGCCGATACACGCTAGATCTATCTGATCGGCTACGCTATAAATATATATATATAGTCCTGTTGTGGATGTATATTTCGGTCTAAGTGATTTATACTGTCTCGGCATGATGACCGATCTATTCCAATCACCTGATTTAAGTATACATCGACATAAGAATCATATATCGTTAATATTTACAGCCGATCAAGTAGATTTAGTTCTTCTTTACTTATTTACGATTGCCGATCGATATACAGATGACATCGGCTCAGATATAAATGATATGTCATCGGCACCTGGCTGATCGGCTATCATTTATAGATTTAACCACGGTTCTCTTGTCTTTATTTCTTGTTGATTACAGGATCAAATCAACTGGCACGCTCACACATATGAAGGCAAGTTTTGGACCTGCACTGGAGTTAAGCAGATCTCCCAGGCCTCGTGTTTTCTGTCAACACGTCGAGCGGCATTGCGACGGTGCCCTTGACGCCCCTTGCGGTCCTCTCCCCGCTTCCTTCCCGCGCGCGTCGGCGACAGCCGGCGGCAGCGGCGGTGGACTCCCCGCGCGCATCGGTGTCAGCCGGCGGTGGCGGCGTACTACCCTCGGCATAGGCGAAAGCCGGCGGAGGTGGTGGAACTTCCCGCGCCTGTCGGCGACAGCTAGCGGCGGCGGTAGGACTTCCCGCGCAGCGTCGGCGACAACCGGCGGTGGGAGAGGTAGGTTTTTTTTTTTTGCTTTTGTTTTAATTCTTTGGCTTTTCTTCGGGATCTGAGACCCCTTCTTCTTTCTCTTTCTAACCCTACCAGATCTACACCTAGTTAAGGCTCTGATACCATTGTTAGATCTTAGTGTTTGCCTAGGTGTGGATCTAGAGGTAGACTAACTCATGGCAATAGTAGTGATGCACTTAGAGAATGAACGGGGAAGAGGGAGAGAGATGTGAGGGACGTACCTTTGCCCTTAGAGGTTGATGCGGCCATGGCGACAATGTAGCTTTGCCTGTGGGTGCTCCCGGGGTCGGCGGCGTGGACAACGTCGATGATGATGGTGAGGTCGACCGGTGGCGTGGACGGTGTAGGCGACGGCGATCCCGACGGTAGGCTTCCCCTCACTTCAGCGCCTATCCCGGATCGGTGGGTTCTAGGGTTTGTGGGGAGTGCGTGTGCACGACGACGAACGTTTGTTTGCGTGCGCCAACAGCTCCCCCTCTTTTATATGGCACTTCGTGAGAGGGGCCCACAGCCATTGAACGGCGGGCGCCCCCTATCAGGGCGCGTGAGGCGGAGTGGGGATCGGTTTCACGATCCCCTGCTTTATCCTTCTCTCAATCAAAGAAAGGGAATGCAAATGTTCTGTCGCCCTCTCTTCGTATGCCACCAGCCTTCCTATAAAAAAAGATTCATTCCTTGAACATAGGCCTCTCTCTTGCGGCTAGCGAGATTGGTCTCGGTAATATGGATTGGTCTTGTTAGGGGCACTTGCTTTACAGGCACACCTTGTTTTTCAATGAGAAGGAGAACTTCGTATTTGGTACCACCACAATAGATCTAGTCTACTCATATTTGTTCGACGAGGTTTCCCGATCAGTCCTAACGCACGCACCCTGGAGATCGCAACTAACAAAGGGCTCTCTACTCAAGTTGGATAGATGCTAGTAGTTTTCTTGCAACAAGATCGCATTGACGGTGCGCTGCTCCTGAAATCACTGAAACAAGCAGCGAAGCTGCGAAGCAAACACACAACAATCTTTGCTAAATCAAATCAAGTTGGGATGAGGAGAGAGAGCATAAATGAATTTTCTGCATATACGAATAGATGAATTTATGCAGAAAATGAATAGTAGTGGCACGGATAGAATTTCTGCATTTACGACGGAAAAGATGACGGTAGTGGCACGGATAGAATTTTCTGCATATAGGAATAAATGAATAGTAGTGATATTTATCTAAATTGATATATTTACAGTGGCATAGATTCAACTAAACCAACTTTAATAGTATAGCCAATATAATAGCCAATTTATACAATAGTTGCTTACTATACTATTAATACCTGATTCTACCTGTCACACACATTACATCTTAGAGTCCGTACTGCAGCTGGCTACAGATCCATAGCTCGCTGCTCTTCTCTATCTTTCTTTATCTCTTTAAAATATATTCCCTCCGTTTTAAAATGTTTGACACCGTTGACTTTTTAGCACATGTTTAACCGTTCGTCTTATTTAAAAAACTTTGTGAAATATGTAAAACTATATGTGTATATGAAAGTATATTTAACAATAAATTAAATGATATAAAAATAATAAATAATTACTTAAATTTTTTGAATAAGACGAATGGTCAAACATGTACTTAAAAAGTCAACGGTGTTAAACATTTTGAAACGAAGAGAGTATATGTATAGCTGAGCCTGCTATTATACCTGCTCGTCCCCATGGAGTCCTCTGCAGGCTACAGTGCACTCCAGCGTCCGTTGGGTTGGGCGTAGTGCCGTAGTGTAGCTTCATCTCGTCTCGTCATCGAGGTCGCCGGCGGTGAGGGGCAGGCAAAGAACAAGATGGAGCTCGCCGTAGGCGCCTCGGACAGCGCCATGAGGTCGCTGCTGGGAAAGCTCGGCAGCCTCCTGGCCCAGGAGTACACGCTCATCAGCGGCGTTCGCAGCGAGATCCAGTACATCAAGGACGAGCTGGCCAGCATGCACGCCTTCCTCCTCAACCTCGGCCACGCCGCCGGCCACCACCATGACGAGCAGACCCGGGGACTGGATGGAGCAGGTGCGCGACGTCGCCTACGACATCGAGGACTGCATCGACGACTTCAGCCACCGCCTCGGCGGCCAGCCACGCGGCGAGGGCCTCCTGTCCGGCCTCCGCCGCGCGAGGTACGCCGTGGCCACGCTCTGGGAGCGCCGGGGCATCGCCGCCAGGGTCGTCGACCTCAAGAACCGCGCGCAGGGCGTCGGCGAGCGCCGCACGAGGTACGGTGTGAAGGACCCCGGCCGGCCGGACGCCGGGAACGGGAAGGCCGCCAGATCCGCCCCTTCCTACCACGTCAACGACCGCCCCCAGCCTGGTCCGCAGCTCGTCGGCGCCGCGGAGTCGGTGGGGATGGAGGACGCCATCGGCAAGCTCGGGGCATGGCTGACCGAGGGGCTGCCCGACCTGAGGGTCCTCGCCGTCGTCGGATTCGGCGGCCTCGGCAAGACGACGCTGGCATTGGCGCTGCACCGCAAGTTCGGGGAGAAGTTCGAGTCCCGGGCGTGCGTGCAGGCGTCGCAGAAGCTCAATCTCGCGGCGCTGCTCAGAAGCATCCTCAGGCAAGTCATGCCTCAGGTCCCTGACAAGGAGAGCACAGATGGAGACTCTCTTGCAGGGATCGAGAGATGGACAGACAAGCAGCTTAAGGAGAAGCTCACAGCACATTTGGAACAAAAGAGGTACTCCTTTCCCCCTTCGGCTCCATGATTCTTAATGTTTTGGATAATATTAAAGTCATCAAACTTTTATAACTTTAAAACTATTTAGTTTAAATGCACTTAAGGCTATGTTTGGAGATAGGTGTTAGAAACCATCTCCTATACATGAAAAACGGAGCGGTTCATTAACACGTGATTAATTAAGTATTAACTAATTTTTTTTTCAAAAATGGATCAATATGAATTTTTTTGATAACTTTTGTATAAAAACTTTTTGTAAAAAAAACACACTATTTAGCAGTTTGAAAAGCGTGCACGCGGAAAACGAGAGGAGAGTGTTGGGAACTTGCTCTTGCAAACACACCCTAAATCAACACATATATAGATTTATCTTACAAAGTATTATAATAAAAGTAAAAATATGTTAATTTATTATATATATTATTATTAAAAAAACATAGTCAAACATATATATTTTGAAGATCGTGTTATTGTCCAAAACTTGGAATTATGGAACAGAGGGAGCATACTACTATACATAGTTTGCTATCATCTTTACTTCTTTAGTGCTGAGTTATTACTTTTATAATCCAGTCAATGATTAAATGCGGAGAATATAGAGGTCCGATTTCTATCCATTATAGAAAAATAACTAAATGTGGAGAAACACAGTTTTTCTCTGGCTTTTTTTCTAATAAAAATTTCGTAATTATGTATTTAATTATATTTCCTGCCATGGTAATGTGTTATTAATCATGTTTTTCTTTTGGATAAAAGTTGCTAGAATGCCCTCAATTTTATTAGCAAATCTGCAAAATAACTTCAGGCTACCACTACAGCAGATTGATCCTGATTTGTGAATTCTGATGTTCTGTGTCTACCATACATGCCTAAGGCTAAACCCAAGTTGCAATTTACCATTTCTAAAATGATAACTGCATTCTCAACTAACGTAACTAATGGAGATGAATACCAACTTTGAAGTTCATTCTCCACCATATATGAATATGAGCAAGAAATTCAGCATTCCGCTTAATCTTTCGGAATTGTTAGTACTAGGACACCATTGAAGCACAGTCAAATGAAGTACTTCCTAGTATTCAAAATTTATGGTTCTGTCTGTCCACTAATCTATTATATCTTTAAAGTAATAGAAAAAGAAGCCTCCATGTTCGCTCTCACAACCTAGAAATTCTCACATTAATCAAAAAAATAAGAAAAAGGAAAAATAGAACTAGATTAGGATTAGGATTAGTTAAAAACTAAAGAAAGGAGAAAAGAAGATGAATCGGACAATCAGTCAAAACGAAAATAAGATTAATCCAAAAGAATAAGGAAAAAGAAAAATAGAACTAGATTAGGATTAGAATTAGTTAAAAACTGAAGAAAAAAAAAGATTAATCGGACAATCAGTCAAAATGAAAATAAGGAAAACCGAGTCATACAATACATTGGAAACTGACAATGTTTTGGGAATCCGCATGTTCACACCACTTTTAGAAACATTGAAAGACAAACCAATCCTAATTAAACTCTAATCAAACTCTTGCCGTTTCCGAATCGTATAAGTACTTGTCATGTCAATAAATACTTCAACAAGCTAACCAAAGCAAACCAGAAATCTTCAACAAGCCAAAAAAAAACTTCTTGCAGTGACCGTCGCCGTGATCATCAACAAGCACGCCACAAATTAGCAAATTCACCGGGTTCTTGCCGTTCAAACTTCTCGCCAGCACGCCACAAATCTGCAAGCCAGAAGTTCTCACCGGAATCCACTTCGTCAATCAAAAAGGCACCCAGGAATTGTTCTTGCTGGAATCACTATGGCATACAAGAAGATTAGTGAGTTGACAACAAAAGGTCAAACATGGAGAATCAAAGCGATATTGAGAATGTAGGAATCGGTAAATTTTGCAACAGATGAGATTATGAGTTTTGATATGCTATTAATGGATGAAGTCCGTACATGCAGAACAAGGTCCGCGAAATAAAATGGACTGGCACATCCTATCTAAGTCCAACAGGATTAGATTAAGCCGACATTCCAGAAATGCAAAAATCATTAAAAAAATAAAAAAAAGAAAAACGGACTGGCACATCCTATCTAAGTCCAACAGGATTAGATTAAGCCGACATTCCAGAAATGCAAAAATCATTAAAAAAATAAAAAAAATAATCACTGAAGCGCTCACCATCCGGAGAGGAGTTGAGAGGCTGTTGGGGGAGGATGCGTCGATGCTAGCGCGTGCATAAGCTCCATAGAAGATCAGGACCCGACGCGGCCATGGACGCCCGCCGTCGGCGGCTGGGGAAGGAGCAGCCTCGATCTACGCCTGCGATGGCGTCCAGGGAGGGAGCCGCCTCAATCCGCACCTACGGTGGCGGCCGGGGACGGAGCCGCCTCGATCCACTCCGGCGGCGGTGCCGGGGACGCGCGCTGGCGGCCGGAGAAGGGGACACGGTGGGGAGGGGAAAAGGGCGGCGCCGCTCGGACGGGGAAGAGAGGGCGGCGCCGCATCGATGTGTTCGATGGGGGAGGAGAGAAGCGAATCAGTGAGAGAAGGGTTGGGCTGACATGTGGGTCATAGAAGTTCAAGGGTACATCTGTATTTTTTTTTTATGTTCTCATAGGGTCTAAAAACATACAAGTTTCAGTAATAAATATTTCAATGACTAAGGTGATCAGCACTAAATTTTAATCATGTCATACCGGATATTTGACACTATTTAGTAGTATTAAATGTAGCACCATTACTACTACTAACAACTACTGCTCCTTATTATGGGTAATCACTAGATATACTACTACCTCCATATTTTTAATGTATGACGCCGTTGACTTTTTATCCAACGTTTGACCATTCGTCTTATTCAAAAAATTTTATGCAATTGTCATTTATTTTATTCTGACTAGATTCATCATCAAATGTTATTTAAACATGATATAAATATTTTTATATTTGTACGAAAATTTTGAATAAAACGAATGGTCAAACGTTAGTCAATAAGTCAACGGCGTCATATATTAAAATACGGAGGGAGTATTAAGCAAGCAATCTAAGGATTATTTAATGGTCAGCTTTGTTCATAACTTTTGTGCGCTAGGTACAGCGATCGATCCAATATCTCACTTACTTTTTTTTTCAAAATAGTAAAAAACAATAATCTTTTGAGTTATCCATTTATTATTTTCAATAGAAAAAACATATTTTTCCAGGGGGTGTTTAGATACAGGGGTGTAAAGTTTTTGCGTGTCACATCGGGTATTATATACGGTATCGCATGGGGTGTTCAGGTACTAATAAAATAAACTAATTACAGAATATGTTAGTAAACTGCGAGACAAATTTATTAAGCCTAATTAATACGTTATTAGCAAATATTTACTGTAGCACCAAATTATAAAATCATGAAGCATTTAATCTTAAAAGATTCGTCTCACAAATTAGTCGCAATCTGTGTAATTAGTTATTATTCACCCTATATTTAATACTTCATACAGGTGTTCAAACGTTCGATGTGACTGGGTGTAAAATTTTTATGTAGGAACTAAACAGGGCCTAAAACACATTAGCCAACCATTTCTAACATCAAAACAATCTCTTTTTTAGTTTAACAATACCTCCTAACAATTATCTTTCGAGTCCATGTAGAAGTAAAAAAAATATAAAATGTAAATTCGGAATTTAAAAAAATAATAAATATTATAAGAGGAGTAGAGTTATGCTCCCATTTTACTATCTTTTAAAAATAAAATATGAAAATATATGTTTCATGTGTGAAAAAAAAATGACGCTAGCCGCGCAATCTGCGCGGGTCACCTTACTAGTTCATTGTGTAAGAAGAGGAATTATCATGAAAAACAATTGTGATGTGTGCATCATTGTGTCATAATGATCCTGATTTGATTTGTGCATGTTGCTCCAACAGGTACTTCCTCTTAGTAGATGATGTCTGGTCTGTATCTTCATGGGAATACATCTGGGGATCTTTGCCCAAAAATAACAATGGCAGTAGAATAGTGGTGACAACAAGGTTCAAATCTGTAGCTGACGCCAGCACTCATCAGCAAACAGGTGACATCCACATGCTAGATCGGCTTTCAGATGAGAAATCAAAACGACTGTTCAATGAAAGAATCTTTAGTGGTGATGATTCATGCCCGGACGAGTTCAGGGAAACCAAGGACAAAATTCTGAAGAAATGCGGTGGTCTGCCACTGGCAATAGTTGCGGTGGCAGGACTTCTGGCCAGAGACCCAAGGTCAAAGAGCCATTGGACAAAGGTGCAAGATTCTTTTAAGTTCAGAGCTGGAGATGAATCTTAGGCCTTGTTTAGATGGGACTAAAACTTTTAAGTCCCTATCACATCGGATGTTTGAAAATTAATTATAAATATTAAACGTAGACTATTAATAAAACCCATCCATAATCTTGGACTAATTTGCGAGACGAATCTAATGAGCCTAATTAATCCATGATTAGCCTATATGATGCTACAGTAAACATTCTCTAATTATAGATTAATTAGGCTTAAAAAATTTGTCTCGTGAATTAGCTTTTATTTATGTAATTAGTTTTGTAAGTAGTCTATATTTAATACTCTAAATTAGTGTCTAAAGACAGGGACTAAAGTTAAGTCCATGATGTAAACACCACCTTACTCCTGAAGGAGTAACACAGATACTCAATCTCTGTTACAATGATTTGTCAGCTGATCAGAAGAACTGCTTGCTTTACTTGAGCATATTTCCAAAGGGCTGCAGCATCAACAGGAAGCGTTTGGTCAGGCGATGGATAGCTGAAGGTTTCATTGTTGAGAAGCATGGAAAAACCGTCGAAGAGGTTGCTGACGACTACTTTAATGAGCTCATCAGTAGGAATATCATTCGTCAAGTGGACCACAGTAGCAATGGAAAGGTAAAGACTAGCCAAGTCCATGACATGATCCTTGAGTACATTGTGTCCAAATCAAGCGAAGAGAATTTCACTGAAATTTTTACAATTTGGTCCTTTTTGAAAACTTATTTTACAAATAGACCCCTAGGAAAACTTAAACCGAAAATAGTCCTTTTTGAGGCGCCAGAGTGGCTGGCGCCGTACCCCAACATGGCGGCGCCAGCCACACTGGCGCCGTGCCCATGCCACCGTGGCACTAGGGCTGTCGTGGAGGTGCTGACTGGGCAGAAAGGGGGCGCCAGCCACACTGGCGCCGCCTCTCATACCACGGCGCCAGCATAGCTGGCGCGCCCCTCCTCTGTGCCTTAAACCCCGTGGGCCCCACCACCTTTCTCCTCCCCACTCCCATTTTCGCCATTCCCAGCCCGAGCAGCGAGCTGCTGTTCTTCTCCCTCTCTCTCCCCCTCACCTCTCCACCTCAAATCCACTTAATTTGAAGCCGTTTTTCGCGGGATTTTTTGTGGAAATCGAAGAGAAAGGTAGACTCCTTCATTCCCCCCTCTTTTTTTTTCATTTTTATTGGTTGAATTTGTAGATCGGTGGGTAACCCTAGAACCCCTTTTTTACCCAAATTTGTGATTTTTAGCATTTGTTCTTAGGATTGGCTTGTTGTAGTGCTACATGTTTGCAATGTACTCATTGGTGTCATGATTTTTTTAACCATATATGTGGTAATGTTAATTTTTGGATGGTTTGGTTGGATGGATGGATGAAAAATTATGGTTGAGGCATGACGGAGGTTTGGGCTGTATGATAAAGTATTTGTAATATTTCGATGTGTAATGCAGTAGTAAACTTGTTGATAGTTGTAGGTGGATTAAATATTTTTTTGGAGTAGTAGCTTTGGGACAATTTAAGTTATGCATTGGTTATAATATGTCGGTTTGGACTACGTTTAGGAATGAAGATTTAATTTTTGTTGCAAAGTTACATTTGATTTTTTGGTGTAGATGGATAGACTTGTTCGTGTTTACTACGGTGGTAGAGTGGTGGAACCTTATGTTGGTGGACATGTTGAGTTTGAGGATATGTCATTGAAGACCATTTTGTTTCCCACCCACCCAACTCTAGATGAACTAAGGTCACGAGTGAAAGAAGTTCTTGGATGGACCGAGGATAATGTGGAGATTCGTTTTTATGGGAGATACGATGTTGGTCAAGGGCATAAGTATATATTAAATGTGATAGGTCAGTTGGAATGGGAAGTTTACTTTGATTTGGTAAAAGATCTCAGTTTAGATCTCTAGAGGTGTTTGCATCAAAGTTAGTTCGTACCGTAGAAAATTTGGATCTAAACAAATCTCCTTCTTATCATTACGTTGAGAAGAATTTTGTGACATATTATTCTCGTCGTGGAGGGGGTGCAAGTAAGAGTGAGTTGGTACGAGAAGACTTGGAGGGGGAAGGAGAGAAGAAGAGACCTTTGCTTGGAAATGATTTATGGGAGGCAGGACCATCAAAGAGACATTGCGGTACTGATGATGTGGATGCAGCGAGGGTGATGAAAAGGGAGTTAGTACAAGAGGGGCTTGATCTAAGTGAACATTTGTCGGCGAGTGTTCATTGGTCGTCGTACGGAGTCAACCCTGAATACCCGACAGAAGTAGCAGGCCAATATGTGAATCCAGATGATTACTTTGATGTCGAATTGAGTGGTGGTCACGATTCTGTCTCAGTAGAAGTCAATAGAGATGATGTTGACGAGGAGGCAAGTGTTGAGCAATATGATGTTGAATTTGCTGAAGACTCTGATGATGACCGTCCATTCCCTCCACTTAGTAATAATGACAAGTTAGCATTAGAGGAATGCCGTGCGTTTGAGAAGGTGTTTGGGAGGAAGCCGGGCATTCCTGAGTTTAGGGACCTAACACATGCCCATGGTGCACTACTAGATGGCGGCATCAACCTAGATCAGTTGCCAGAACCATTCCAGGTGGATGGTCTCAGAAAGGGTTTAGAGTTCCCATCCATGGTCGCATTGAAGCTATGGCTTCAGGAGTACGCCATCGTGCACCATCGTCCATACCGTGTTGTCAATTCTGCCGCAAATATTAAATGTGAAAACCCACGGTGCAAATGGAAGGTCCATGCAACTAAGAGGTCTAGTGGCACGTGGAGGATATCACGGGTAGGTAAGGAACATAGTTGTGCTACTGCCGAAGGTTCAGGGAGCCACCGGCAACTGACATCAAAGTTCATAGCAAATAGGTTATGCAATGCCATAAAACTGCAACCTACACTCTCTGCTTCTGCGTTAGCTTTGTATATATTTGAGGTTTTCCAGTATAGAGTGAAGTATGGCAAGGCTTGGAGGGCACGAGAGGAGGCTATGAAGCTCATTTACGGTGAATGGGGTGAAGCGTATGTCCGTTTGCCCACTTTGCTGCAAGCCATTAAGCAGAGGAATCCCAGTATGGTCTACCACATCGATACTCATCCTGATAGGGTTGTCAACGTTGATGGAGTGACCAAGAAAATTTTTATGCGTGCATTCTGGTGCTTTGGTCCTTCCATTGAGGCTTTTAAGCATTGTAGGCCAGTACTAGCTATAAATGCAACCTTCCTAACTGGGAAATACGGTGGTGCCTTGATGACTGCATTATCAGCTGATGCGGAGGACCAACTTGTACCTTTAGCTTTTGCCTTGGTGGAGAAAGAGAATTCACGAGACTGGTGCTGGTTTATCGATCTTTTCTGACGGGTTGTGGTTGGGCCGCATAGGGAGGTTTGTATTATCTCAGATCGACATGCTGGTATAATAAATGCCATGATGACTCCTGTTCCAGGATTGCCATCGGTTCACCACTGGTGGTGCATGAGGCACTTCAGTGCTAATTTCCACAAGGCCGGTGCGGACAAGCATCAGACAAAAGAGCTCCTAAGGATATGTCAGATTGACGAGAAGTGGATATTTGAGAGGGATGTTGAGGCACTAAGGCAGCGTATTCCCGAAGGTCCTCGTAAATGGCTTGAAGATGAGTTGTTGGATAAAGATAAGTGGTCTCGTGCATACGATAGAAATGGCCGCCAGTGGGGTTACATGACAACCAACATGGCCGAACAGTTCAATAGCGTGCTAGTTGGTGTTCGTAAGCTTCCAGTGACGGCCATCGTATCATTTACGTTCATGAAGTGTAATGACTACTTTGTGAACAGACATGATGAAGCTTTGAAGCGAGTCCAGTTAGGGCAGCGTTGGTCCACCAAGGTTGACAGTAAGATGAAGGTGCAAGAAAGTAAGGCGAACAAACACACTGCAAGGTGTTTCGATAAGCAGAAAAAGACATACGAGGTCACAGAGAGGGGTGGTATAACGCGTGGTGGTGTTAGATTCGGCGCAAGAGCCTTCAAAGTTGAAGGTGAGGGGAACTCATGTTCTTGCCAAAGGCCATTGCTCTACCATATGCCTTGCTCACATCTTATACACGTTTATCTGATTCATGCAATTGATAAGGAATCTCCCAACCGAATGCCGTATCAGTTCTCTTCAAGAGCCGTTGTGAACACATGGGCAAGTCGCTTTGAGCCATACCTCGACCCCACACAGTGGCCATCGTACGATGGTGAAGAATTTGTTGCTGACCCAAATTTGAAGATTAAAACAAGAGGGAAGAGGAGATCAAAACGATTCAAGAACGAAATGGACTCGGGTCTGGGTGGTTCTGGAAGGAAACCACCTTCATGCGTTCAACTTGATGCTGCGCCGGTGCAAAATAGATGCTCGTTGTGTCACCAGGAGGGTCACAAGAAAACTAAGTGTCCTAAGCGTCCAAAAAAGAAGAAGTCCAAAAAAAATTTAAGTGTTAGGGAGGTAAATATTTTGTTTTCCTACTCATGTTCTCGCATTCATTTTCTTTTAATATATGTCACATTGGTAACTAACGGTGAATTTATTACTTTTTCATGTAGGATGGCCGAGGAGGGACAACCGCCGACTTACCCAGCCTTAGAGGCGTACTACGAGGCCCGTCATCACGGGGCTGCGATCGAGGCGGGGAGGGTATGAATCGGCATTGATTCACTTGTGCATAAGTATCGGTAGCGTGTATTTGACATTATATTAACTAATTGATTTACAATTGCTAATGCAGGTACTTCAACCGCTCCGAGTCAGAGCTCATGCCCCCCAGTGTTCGACGATAGGTACATCCCGTACCTAAGGGCTGTAACGCCCCGATTTTCGTTCGGGATTAAAAATCATTTAATAATGCATTTCCTAGAAATTGAATAAAAAGTTAAGCAATTTAATCAAGTGAAATAATGGGAGAATTAAAATTTTCCCTTAAAAATCATTGGCCGGGAATATTTTGTAATATTCTTTGTGCCTTAAAATACTCTCCGGATTTTTCTGTGAATTTTCGGAGCTCAAGAAGTAATTATAATAATATAAAGTTCATTTAATCAATTTAAATAAAAAGAAAAGAAAATAATCTTCCCCTTCCACCCTTTCGGGCTCGGCCCAAATCCCTTCCCCCTTCCCCTCCGGCCCGGCCGCCCTCTTTTCCCCCTTTGGGCCGCCGGCTCAGCTCCTCCCCTCCCTCTCCCTCTAGTCCTCTTTTCCTCCCCCAACCGGTCTCCCCTCTTCCTCTGGCTGACAGGTGGGACCCGCGGCCCCACCTGTCATCTCCTACCTCTAGCTCCATCCCCAACCGCCGCCATGGCCGCCAAATCCTCCCACGTCGCCGCCTCTCCCGCGGGACTCCCTCTCCTGCGCGTGCGTGGACGCGGTCATCGCCACGTCGCC